TTTCTGGACTGCATCTGTGTTTTTCCTACCTGACAACAATTTCCTGAAGTGTTGTGTAAAAAAAAGGTCATCAAAAACATCACTGCACCTCCAGTTGTCTTTTTCAGCCATGGCTCACTAAAATGTCCTGATATAGGTCATGGATGCACTCCTTACAATCCTTGGGAAGCAAAAACCTTGACTATACCAGAAAACGTCAGGGTGCAGCAAACCCAAACTATTTGATTTATTCTAGGTAAGTCACATTAATTCCTCTCAAAGATGCTGTTTCATGCATAGATATTTGCTTCAGTCTCAAAGCAGAGATCAGCAGCATAAATCCCACAGAAATATAAATCAATAATCCTTCCCAAACCTAAACATGGTAGCACTTTAACTATTCATGTTCTGATTGTATTTAGCTAGGGGGAAACATTGTTGCACATCCTTTTAAGATTTGGGGGAATTATTTTTTCAAATGCTTTGACAGAAAAATATATGAATGTCCAGATATTTTTGAGCGCAGTATCAATATAAAAATATATACATTTAAAATAAATAGATAGTGCAGGTATTTGAGCATTTGCTGTCACTGCAGTGAGAAATGTGAATATTCTTTCTGATTACTTTCCATATTGTAGGAGTCTTAAGGTTCAGCTTCATAATTTTAGCCTATATGTTTCATGTTAGACCTGTTTGGTTTCTGAATTGCAATGTAAGCAACACCTCAGAAGAGAAGCAACTGGTCAAGTTGATGAAGGTCAGTGCAGAATTTTTCTATGCTGGGGTCCTGAGTTTTCTCTTCCCTTTAGAAATATCCCCATGGATTGACCAGAAATTGTGACAGACCTTCTAAAAGTTCTTCCGTCACTTGTACATCATAACTCTTACTGACATTCCTACAAAGAGCAGAGACTGCAGAAATTTGAGATATTTGTTCATCCCTGACTCAAGGAAGTTCATTCACTCATGACAATAAAATCTAAAGAGTTATATGAAGAAAAAGCTATTCATACTAAAATTCAAAACAGGAGCTTTAGGTTATTTTTCAGGATGTACTGAATGTTTTGGAGAATTAAGACAATAAAAATGTATTTAATGAGTAGAATCTCTTTATATGAAACTTATAAATTTGGAGTCTTAATGGCTTAAATAATGACAAAGTGCTAGCAAAAAGAAGTTGCAAATTTTTTTGTTGTATTTTTAACCCCACTACATTTTTTGTTGCTTCACTACAAGTCCTGAGAAAAATATTTTATGAGTACTTCATAAAGAAAGGTCTTCAAGCACATCTGGGTGTTGAACACCAAAATTTGAGCAGAGAGAAGGTGTGTTTCTAAGGGATTGTTTCCAAATGCTCATACTTAAAATAGTATTTTGACATAATATCAAATAATCATAAAAATACATTGCCACTTACCAGTGTACACCACCATGGACATAGACATGAGCAGAATTACAATCATTTTTTGTTTAATCCAAAGACAAGAAAAAAGTCACACAGCAGACTGGTGTGCCTGGTGAGTTAAGTACAATATTAGACAGAATGTTATCTCTTCAGTCTGGGAGTGGGAAAACAATATCTTGGGAAATCATTCTTTTGTAGCCTGGATATATTTCTGCTTGATAAAATTCAGTTTTTACCCTTTTCATAGTAATATAAATGCATATATTACAATAATGATGAACCTTATATATCCTTATTTTACCAATGTTGTCTAAAAGTCAGACTAACAATATTTATTTGGGTATTGCTTTGCGTCAACAGACTATGAAACTGCCATGTAGCAATAAAATGGTGCACTTACAGTTTCTTTTGTTTTGCAAACAGTTTTCATATCTTCCTTTGTCTCATACAATGTTCAAATAATTCATATATTTAAATGAAGATATTGTGAAACACTGTGCTGGTGAAGTCATTCTGATGTTACATCTATGGAATTCAGTTTATCCACAATCCATTATATTTCTTTCATATCACAAAAATTTGTTCTCAAACATTTATTCTAATCTGTGCTGAGACTCATCTAATACATCCTAATATTTTCCTAATGAGAAATATGATGTTATTTGGAGATCTTCAAGAAATAGTTGTAAAATATTCATCTAAATGTGTTGCACTAGTATTTATTAAATTGAAGATGATAGATTGGTTTTTAGCTACAGTCACAAATTACTTTAAATTTAGAACAAGCCAGGCATAGAGTTTTTTAAAGCCAAATAAATGAATATATATATATATATCAGTTTACAAATATGTACCTGATGATTATTATCTGCTTTTCTGAATTCAAATATGGAATTCATTTCCATTAGAAAATTGTGTAATATTTCATCAAGAAGTGAGATTATAAATCTAACAGCTGTAAATATTTATATTCTATTTTCCCAAATCTCATAGCTTATTCTACATTGTTTTCTTCTTGCTTCCCTTATTATAGAGAACATCCAGACAGACTTACCTTAAGGGTATTATCCCAAAGCAGCTGGATGGAAGACAAATGAATATCAGCAAAGCCAGTACTAACTTATTTATACCCACTTGGATATGGACCTCACCCATGTGATCACTTCCTTTATCAAACCCACTTCAACATTTATTAATTAATTCTTCCATGAGATTCCTTGGAGTGATTATGCCCACAGTGTATCTGGTAATATGGCTCCAGCCATGTAAAGGATCTATACTGAGAAGTCTGTTCTGCAGGTGCCTTCACCATATAATAACTTTTCCTAATACTCCTGGCTCTAATTAAATAACAGTCATCCCATTGTTATTAATCACTCACAAAATCTCTTGGGCATGTGAATGTGGCTTTAATAGCTTATCAAGAGGTAGTGTTTGGTGATGAAAGATGAGTGAGAGTTTACACAGCTTTAAACACTGCATTCCTCAGGGTTGGGAAGTCTTCTTGAATCTATCCACAGTGGCTCTGATCCAAGGCTGAGTGAAATGCAGGAGAAGGTTGATTCAGTGAGCTTTGGGCAGGCAGTTTTTCATTAGGAGGGTGTGCTTTCTGCCAGGGCCAGGCACAGCTACCCTTCAGAGTCCATCAACAGAGACAAACTGTCCACTGAATTGTAGCATGGAGAAGTGAGAAGTCTGACAACTGGGAATTGTAAAAATACTTACATGAGCAAAAGGCCCTTTGACTCTGTGACCTACAAGGTTTTCAGGAAGGCCTTCATGGTCACCTGTAAGATATTCATGGAGATCTTACAAGCTGTTGATATCTGAGCTGGATGTGCCTGGGGAGGTGGTTGAAAACGAACTGGTGGGGCTCCAAGGGCTGTGGCCAGTGGCACAAAGCCTGTTTGGAAGTCAGTGCCTGGTGGTGCATTCCAGCAGTCAGTGTGGGATCCAGCCCTGCTTAGCATCTCCATGAATGACCTGGGTGATGGGGCAGAAGGCACCCTCAGCGGGCTGGCAGGTGACACTGGACTGGGGTCAGGGACTGGCATTTCAAAGGGTCACGCTGCCATGCAGAAGGACCTCAACAGGAGCTCCATGAGGTTCAACAAGAAGTGCCAAGTCCTGCACGTGGAGATACGGCCTCATACACTAATATGTGCTGGTGACCACCTATCTGGGAAGCAGCCTGGTAGAAAAGGACCTGGTGTCCTGCTGGACACAGGGTTGAACAGGAGTGAGAGGTGTGCCCTTGCAGCAGAGAAGGCTCAGGATGTCCTGCACTGGGCAAAGTGCTGCCTGCAGGTTGAGGGAGGGGGTCCTGCCCCTCTACGCTGCACTGGTAAAGCCACACCTGCAGAGCTGTGTCCAGTTCTGGGCTTCCCAGTACAGGACAGACATGGGAAAACTTGTGACAGTTCAGAGGAGGGGCACAGAGATGATGAAGGGACTAGAACATCTCTCATGAGGAGGGGACAAGAGAGCTGGGACTCTTCACTAGAGGAGTCTTGGGGGGATCTCATCAATCCAGTAAACCCTCAAGGGGAGGGTGCAAAGGGACAGAGCCAGTCTCTGTCCAGTGGTGCTCAGTGGCATGACAAGAGGCAATGGGCACAAGCTGAGAGCTGCTCCAACAGGGTGAGACCTCCCACAGCAGGGCAGCACCACGGCCATGTTAGGGCACTTCTTGAACTTTGTGAAGTTCTTGTTGGCCCATTGCTCCAGCTTGTTAAAGTCCTTCTGGATAGCAGCAGGTCTTATACCCAGCATATGCTCACTGTATGGACACTCCTGTTTATTCCATTCTTTTATTACTTTCAATGTCTGCTGTAATTGGTACCACTCCAATCTATCCTGCTCTTTGACATAACACAAGTTCTTCTCTCATGCTGTTGAGCTCAACAGTGGAATGTATTTTGGAAGAGAACTACTGCATCTCACCTCTCCAGCATTGCTTATATTCTTTATATTGCCATTTTTCTCTTTGGCTTTGCCTTTGAACACATCTTTCTTCAATGAAACATCAATGTGCAGCAGCTATAGTGCAGATAAACTTCTTATTTAAAAACAGTATGAATGGCTTGATGGCATACTTTGGGTAGATAGTAGCATAATGTTGCTGCAGCATAGAAAAATATGGGACATGAAATTGATGTGGTTATTCTTTCATTATTTTAGAACTGGTTTTAGTTCGGCATACTTGCATATAAAGGAAATGAAAGCTGGGTTGGAAGGGGCAATCTCACCTGAGCAACCTGATCTGGTGAGGTTTCTTTAAGGTCCTTTCCAACTAATTTTATAATTCAAGGTTTCTCTAATCCTAGTGAGCTCACACAAATATATCTCAAAGTACAAGAGATGCTGTCACTTCCTGGGTTGACACTGAACAACAGGAATTGCTAAAGTAATAGAAGTTTTTGATTTAGAAGATAATCTGCATATATTTAATACCAGAGAGTCCTGTTTGTCTTCAGTATTTCAGGTTGCTTTTAAATTACTTTGCATTTGTTAATTTTGACTACTATGTCTCAAATGTCAGTAAAATAAATAGAAACTATTCACATTCACTAGCCAACCAGGTAAATATCCTTTATAAAATTAGACTTTTTAAAGCCTTTCAGTGCTTTTATTGCAGTTACATCACTTGTATAAAATATCTCTGTATTTTACACATTATTTTTACAATGCCTTGGAGGAGAAGACATTTCTAGGTTAACATGTGGTTAATAGCTTGTCTGATTTCAAATACTTGCAAGTTGCTGCTTTCTGACTTTTACACTGAGAAATCAAACAGAAAACTAAAACTGCCACCGGTCTTCCAACTTGCAGTAAATTTTCTCAGTGCTCTAAACAGTTGTGCAGATGTTTTTAAGGCATTTTTGCTTTAATGCTGGAAGAACACAAGAAAATATTAGTTAGAAGAGGTTTTACAAGGAAATATTAAAACATGCAAAAAGGTAAAATAATTTGTTTAATCCTTTAAAAATCATTATCAGTTAAGATATCTATCTGATGAAAGACAGCAAATACTCTGTGGATATACAAAAATCTTTGTTATATCTTCATAACAAAGTATGTAGAGATAAAGAGATATAAAGTGAAAATGTACTTACTGTGGGAGTAAGCAACTCTTTTGACTCTTTCGCAGACATAACTGGCATTTTTCACAAACCAGGAATAGTATTCAACACAGTATCTGAAGATGTAGTTACAGATAGGAGATGCAGTTAAAGATAAGAGGTTTGTTATCTTTCATAAGGAGAGGGACTTTGGACAAGGGCAGGTACTGATAAGATGAGGAGGAATGGCTTTAGGCTGAAAGAGGGCAGGTTTAGTGACATATTAGGCAGAAATTCTTTACTTTGAGGGTGGTGAGACAGTGGCACAGGTTGCCCAGAGAAGCTGTGGATGCCCCATCCCTGGAAGTGCTCAAGGTCAGGTTGGATTTGGCTTGGAGCGACCTGGTCCAGCAGAATGTGTCCCTGCCCATGGCAGCAGAGTTGGATCTAAGTGGTCTTCAGATCCCTTCCAACTCAAACCAATCTGTGATTCTATGATAAGCTCAGTATATCATGCTGCTATAACTAAATATGGAAATAAAAATCTAGATTCCAACCTCAATGATGCCATTAGATGTTTGGAAAGATGCAGCTGGGCTTTTTTCACCGGGCTGGAATACTGAAGCCAGATTGGCTCCTGATCAGTGCACTGAGACACATTTGGGTCTCAGCCAGTGGCCACAGACCCTCCAAAATAATCATTGCTGATTGAAAATTGTCATTTGGGAAAAAAAAAAAAAAAAAAAAAAAAAAAGGAGACAGAGATTTTAAGCAGACAGAGAAAGAAAAAATAGTGCCAGGTTTTACCTCATGGCTTCCTTTCTGGAATATCTTCTCTGACCAACACAGAGGCACAGCTGAAAGAACCTACAGAGCTCCATCACACAGGGGCTGATCTTCTGCACCATGAGGGTGACAGGAGGTGAGGTCACACGGGGCTCTCTGAGCATCGCCTGTGGGCACCCTGGGCAGAAAACACAACTCTGAACTAGTCCAAATGCTTGTACCACTAAATTTCCTGCTCTACCTTATCTGGGCTGTGGTGTCCAAAGCAATGCCTTCCCTACTTCAACAAATAAGTGATATCCCTGAAAATGCCATTCTGGGAAGGCAGGAAGGGCAGAATGAGAAAGAAAAGAAAGGAAAAAAGGGAAGGGAAGGGAAGGGAAGGGAAGGGAAGGGAAGGGAAGGGAAGGGAAGGGA